GGGGGGGGTGGAAATGACAAAAGTCACAAAGTTCTTTCGGTTTTTCTTAACACTATTGAATTTCCAAAAGAAATAGGCATAACATTTTTCTCTGAGGATCCTGATTGTTCACTGTTTTTCTTCAATTTTGGAAAAAAATAGCTTTCTAGTCCTTATGTGAGACTTTTTTATAAGCTGTTCTTCCAAAAGTGTTGTGGGAAACTTTTCAAATGCACTCTCTTTTTCTATATTTGTTGCCTTCTTTCATTGAAATGATAACATAATGATTTCAATGCGCTTCTTGAAATCTTGAAGGATGTTATTTCTAAAAAGAAGTATTTTTTTCTTTCTTTTTCATGCAATGCTTTCTTTGGCAGACGGCTAAAGTTGAGGTAAGTGCTTGTTAGCTTTTATAGTGCTCACTTTAAGGCCATAGCTTTTTTATAGACCAGTGCTTTTTAACTTTTTTTCTCACTTTATTTACTTCTTATTTTGCCAGCATGGCAAATTTACATTCACCCAAACTGCTGTTTTTTTTGTCTTCAGTTTCAGCAAGGTAGTCATTTTATTGGACAGTCTAATGATAGGTAAACCAGCGTCTGTCGCATAACGGTTAGGCTTTTTGCCGGCACACACTGAAGACTTGAGTTTGATTCTCACATGAAGAAGTTTGTTAAATTGAGTATCTCAGAAATCTCCACCTTTCTGCTGGGATGCAGGTGGTTGGCGGGTGCTCTGGTGTGGTTTGCTCCTTCTTTCCTATCAAACAGCTATCATCCTTATCTCTCCTCTTTTTTTGTGTTGTTACTCTCTTGTAACACTTCTAATCTTCAGCACTTATATGACCTAATTGTGTTGCAAGTGCTGTGAAACACTCACTAAAAATAAATCAAACGTCTCCTGATCTCAGGGCTCCAGCACAAAGGACGGCAATCAGTTGAACCTGGACCACTTCCAGCTGCTGCGGGTCATAGGTCGTGGCAGTTACGCCAAAGTGCTGCAGGTGGAGCACAAGAAGACCAAGCGCATCTACGCAATGAAGGTCATCAAGAAGGAGCTGGTCAACGACGATGAGGTAAAACACGACGAGCTTATGTACGTTTGTAGTGGACAACACGTTTGCTGATTGGCAGTGTAGACTCTCAACTCTTTTCACTCACTATGACCAAATCGGAAGAAATATAATTGCTTTAGACTTACAATTATTTTTGAAAAGTTATACGTGTCATGACACGTTGGAATCGGGCACTCGTCAAAGATTTTGGGCATATGGAGTTTTTGATATAATCTTATAGCCTGCTCATTTGCCTTTCTTTTGTTGAAAAAAAATATTCATCTATCTTGAATAGAAGTCACGATATTTGCAACCTGAAGGAGGACAGTGTACCTTGGTGTCAGTGGTGAAATTAGCTAGAAAATGGCAGCCAAAGTTTTGTGACTTCCAAAGCTGTAGTGTTCTTGGAAACTGCAAATTTTCATTTGTTCATGCCTTTTGTCTGGACATTATTTTCAACAAGCCATTTTTTTCCCCCCACAAACAAATCTTTTGCTTTCTCCCCCAAAATTCTCTTGTCAATACAAAGCTTTAACAAACAATATGCTTTTTTAAAATCAGGACATTGACTGGGTCCAAACAGAAAAGCATGTGTTTGAGGCTGCGACAAATTACCCGTTTCTGGTGGGTTTGCATTCCTGCTTCCAGACGTCCAGCAGGTGAGCTTTTGTTTATTTTGAATGATGATGAAGACAGCAAGTCTCACTGTCATAACACATTGACATTCCCCGATGTCAGTTTGTAAATGTTTTGAGTGAATGGCGCAATGACAATGCTTGTTGTTCTTCTAATGTTTTCAATATATGTGTGTGTGCCTGAAGAAAGGTCCCAGTTGTTGGCAAAGCTATTTTTGAGCTAGATATATTACTTGTTGAAAAGTTTTAAAGTTCGTAGTGGTTCAGAAAGTTAGTTCCATCAGAAAATGAGTGCTTAATAATTTTTTATTAAGATATTGAAAGAATTTAATAATATTTTAAGGCTAAGTTTTAAAAAAATTATTTTATTTTTGTTGTTGTTGTTTGTTTTTTGCAGCATGTTGTACTTCATCAAAGGTTAAAATGTGCTAGAAATGGGGTTTTTCTCCAAACTTTGTTTTTACACCCTTTGTTACATAATGTGGCATTTCTTCAAAAGTGCTCAAGATATTTGAAATGTTTTAAATTCAGCATGGTCAGCATTGGATTCACTATAAGAATATGCCCTTATTTTGATATTCAAAGTTTTCGACATGTGGGACCTTTCTCCAGGATCACACACATATATGGAACAGATTGTGTCAGGCTGTTGAACTTTCAAGTTTTAGAACATCAGAATGAAAAGAGAACAGACACTTATCTCCATGCACAATAAAAGATTGTTCATTGTACAACACAATTAGGTCATATAAGTGCTGAAGATTAGAAGTGTTACAAGAGAGTAACAACACAAACAAGAAAAAGAGTAGGATCATAAGTTGTTGGCTGGTGTGGTTTGCTCCTTCTTTCATATCAAACATCTATCTTATCCTTATCTCTCCTCCTTTTTGTGTTTGTTACTCTCTAGTCACTCCTCTTATCTTTGGCACTTATTGACTTTATTGTGTTGCAAGTATCATAAAACTCTTACTAGTGGGTGGTTGGCGGGTGCTCTGGTGTGGTTTGCTTCTTTTTTCCATTCAAACATCTTTTGTCCTTGTCTCCACGTCTTTTTTATGTTTGTTACTCTCTTGTAACACCTCTAATCTTCTGGCGCTCTAATGACCTTATGCAGTTGCGAGTGCCATAAAACCTTTACTAAAACTTTAAAAAACTCTTACTACAACTAAAAGAAGTAAGATCTCATTTTGTGTTATGCTAGATATGACAGGCACTTTTGTTTTTCTGGCAGGCTGTTCTTTGTGATTGAGTTTGTCAACGGGGGAGACCTGATGTTTCACATGCAGAGACAGAGGAAGCTGCCAGAGGAGCACGCCAGGTTCTATGCTGCTGAGATCTGCCTGGCCCTCAACTTCCTTCATGAAAGAGGTGTGCTTACATTTCACTTCCTGCTCTGTGTATTCTTAGTAACGTATTCAAGGTTGGCTCATGGATGGGAAAGAAAAAAAAAGGTGACAATGATAATGACAATCTTTATTCATCTCACAGGGAGAAATTTGCCTTGCTTGTTTACCATGACAGTGGATGTTACAAAGATTAAGTGCACTCATGCATACACCCAACAAGGCAGGATATTAGTAAATACATGTCTTACGTGCATAGGAAGGGAAAATGGGAAAAAATATAACAAAGGAATATTGCCTTGGAAGGAAAGTATTAGTATTATCGCACTAATTTTTCTGTGGCTTGTTTCCCTGTTTATCGATAGTGTTGTGTTTACATCGCATAAGTTGAAGAAGTAGGTCAAATCTATTTTTGATTTTTGTTCTAAAACCATTGCCGAGAAAGTTTTTATGAGTCCTAAGTAAACATTCGGGGTCAGCATGCTCTCTAAATAGTATAAAAGTACCGTTGACTAACCTTTGTGTGTCTTCTCTCATCATTGGAATCAGAAGGATTTTTTGTATTATAAAAATGTTTCAAGAAACTAGTTACATAGAGCTCCTTGTCTTTGTAATTTATTTGTTCTTGTTGACATTACGTATTGGCTTTCCTAATTCCTACCAAACTGAAAATGTTTAATGTGTCCCAAGGTCTCACATGACCTTATGCAGTTGCAAACACATTAAAATACTTACCCCCCCAAAAAAGACAGAAAAAGAAAAAACTCCCAAAAACTTGGCTTTCTCATCCTCTCCAGGCATTGTGTACAGAGACTTGAAACTTGACAATGTGCTCCTGGATGCTGAGGGCCACATCAAGCTGACAGACTACGGCATGTGCAAGGTTGTATATCTAACTACTTGATGGGAATTTCACTTGGTAGAAAGGGTTAAAAATAGAGATGATATGACGATATCTAAAGGGAATTTTAAGTATTATTTCAAGCCTGAGAAAACTCAGCAGTGAAATGAAGACCGCCCAAAAAATGAGTCCTAGAACTTCTGGCCTAGATCTGTTTAGTTTTCAGCTGAAGAAGTCATAGATCTTATGAAATGTATTTACCCTTACAAGTGTGTCAGAGTGGATAGACTTTCAGTCCTCTTCTTTTTCATGGCAATTTGATAATAAGAATAACTGAACATTTTTCAGTTAGTCAATTTATACGCTTCTGTAGTAGGGATTTTTCTGTTTGATTACCACTTTTGACTTGAATTTCTTTTTCGTACTTGCCTCTAAAGTCCTTTCTTTATTTGTGTTTGAGTAGCTATTTCATTTCTGGTTATTTTGATAAGCAGTACGTTGTAATTTGTTGAAATTTAGTGTTTTATCAAAGCATTTGATCAGCGTACCCCAGCCTCCATAAAAATAGCCTCCAAATTTACTGCGTCGAAAGCTAAAATTCAGTCCAGGCTGAATCAGTTAACAGTGGATACAGGGCCTTCTTAAAAGTATCAAGGCAATTATTGGCCAACCATAATAGGTCTTTATCAAGACTTTGATTGATAGGTCTTTGGAGTCATGAGGCATGGGGCTCAGGCTTTATGGCTCAATGAGTGAAATTTTTAGTCCCCAATCTGACTGTATCACTAGTTGCCTTTTGCTCTTGTACGTTTGTGAAAATTTATACCGGGAATTTTGGCAATGGTAGTAGAGATCACGGTATGGGTCTGGTATAATATGCGGCTTCAGTGTGTGAACTAAGCTAATGGGGTAATAGGTTACAATGTCATTTTTCAAGACTTTTAAGTTATATTTATTGTGTCAATGACCCTAGTAGGTCAGAGATTGTTCTAGCTTAGTATTGTATGGCAAGGCATGATGATGATGATCATTTTTTGTGGGGGGGGGGGGTATTTTTAATTTTATTAAATATATTGCCGTTACTCTCTGCTTCCATCTTAGAGATACATTTTTGTTCCATTTCTTTACAAAGCATCATCAGTATACAATCATTCCAGTTTTTGTTTTTGGCATTTTGTTCATAGGTAATGCCATAGCTTTCTTATCATCACCACTATCAGTGTCCATTTAGACCTTTGTCACTATCGTAATTGTTATAGTTTTCGTCACCATTATCATTTTCTCTATCACTGTGACCATCACTTTCATCATTATCACTATTTTCATCTTCATCACTTATCATTATTATTATCTTCATCACCATCACTACATCATTATTATTATCATCTTCATCAACATCACTACATCATTATTATCATTTTCATCACCATCACTACATCACTATTATCATCTTTATCATCACTACTTCACTTTTATCATCTTCATCACCATCTCTACATCACTATTATTATCATCTTCATTGCCATCAGTCTAATCTAATTATGTTCCTCGCCATTGTCGTTGCTCTCATCACGGGCGTGCCTGTCATCCTATCTCTATCTTTATCATCCTCCTCACCACCACCACCACCACCACCATGTTCACCCTCATCATCCCCCTCCATCGTGTTCCACAAATCAACCATGTAGGAAGGGCTGAAGCCGGGCGACACCACTGGCACGTTTTGCGGCACACCCAACTACATAGCCCCCGAGATCCTGAGAGGGGAGGAGTACGGTAAGGACACACGAGACCTTGCACTTTTTGGCGCACCGCTGAACTGACCGTCTCATTTTCATTCTTCTATGTGTCGGCTGACTACTTCCATTGTGGCTCATAGGAATGTCTGCATTTTATTTTTTGTTTGTTTTGTTTTTTCTGGGTACCTTGTTTTGGAAAGAGAGCCATGGTCAGTCTTGTTTAAAGGGTACCGGAGCAACACTAACTTTATACTATTTTGTGGATTATTTTTAAAAAATGCTAATACAAAGATAAAAGAATTATTTTTGAGCATTTCTTAATTCATTATATGATTTTGATAATATGTTGAATGTTTAGTGTAAGACGTTTTTTTAAATTCAAAGAAACTTTGGCGACAATAAATGTGGCCGCAGGTTTTGTGGTTTAGTGCATGGTGGACATCTTCCATTTTTGTTGCTCTTATTTAAAGAAAAAAAGGATTTGGGTTTTGTTATTTGTTTTTAAAAAAAATTGTCATGGCCTTCAGTCTTTCAGGACTGTTGATGTGGGTCAAGTGTGAATAGTTTGTTTATAGACTGATCGTGGCTTAATTTTCTGGAACAGGAAATCCAGGTTGAATTTTTTTTTTTTTTTTTTGGCGCGGTCAGAACTTCCTTTTCAGTTCATGTTGTCTTTTACTGCAAAACACTCTGACAATTTCTAAAGCTTGGCTCTCTACTTTTGTTTGGTGGTTGTTTTTCATTTGAAGACACTTAATGTTATTCCTGAGTGTCCAAAAATTCATGAGCTTAGCTGGAGAGCTACTGCATCTGAGAATATTGTCATTTCGTGAGGGACATTGCGGCTTAGTTCTTAATCTTCTTCAGGGGCTATCAAAGAATACCACCCTCAACACAGTAATTGTCAACAGGGTTTGTGGGAATCTTCCTTCGATTTGGCAATTTCAAGTCCAGATGTTTTAATTTTTAAAAAAATAATAGGACTGACCAAATGTGGGTTCAAAATATGAGAGCGAGTTTAGGAATCTGTTGGAGTGTCTGCAGCCTCATGCCTTCTCCGCTCATCTCCGAAGAGGCCAGCATGTGACGAGAGAGACGCTACCCACTCACCCATCCCATCGGCTGCTCACGCTCTCCTCATCCTCATCACCCCTGCGGTTCCCCCCACATTATAATCGCTCGCTGTGTGCGCAAATTTAACATAGTTTTTTTCTTCTCTTTTTCTTTTCTTCCCCTTCTCTTTTTGGGGGAATTTTTTTTTTCTCTTTAACTTGCACTGGCTGGCTGGCTATTCTAGGAGAATCTGATGCCAGGAGACAAGACCAACACATTCTGTGGGACCCCCAACTACATAGCTCCTGAAGTGTTGAGAGGAGAAGACTATGGTATTACCATGTATAAACACCGACCCCAGACCTGACCTTTTACCCTTGTGCCCTTTTTGCACTTTGACCTCTGTCATGCTTGTTCCCTGCCCAACCCATTTGCCTCTTCAGTGAGAGAGAGAAAAATGTTTTTTTAAAGGAGTGGGCCAACTAGAGTTGCATACCAGTGCATGTCATATAATATGAAAAGGCTTGTTGTGTCTTTGTGGAAAATTTGCATTTGTGCTTCACAGAAATCTTGCTGCTTTTGTCCACTTTTGGATTGTTCAGTTTCACCCTGCAGTGGTTCCCTAGGTGTAGGACTTCATTTGCACCCTTTGAAGATCTTGAACAAAACGAGTTGTCTCAGATACATGGTTAAAACATATAACATATTAAGAAACCACCCTCAGATGTAAAAGCAGGCTGTTAATTGACGTAATGGATATGTAACACAAGGTAGCAGATTTTTTAAAGACTTCTTTAAAGATACACACTAAAAAACGTTTTAAAATGGCGTTAGAGGCTCATATTTTTTTTCTACTCTGCTTCGGAGGATTTGGGGCAAATGAGGTGGGGAGGGGAGGGGGTAATGGGGACCACTGCACGATTGCAAACAAATACAATTAATATAAACCCTTAATAAAGTGTGACTAAAACCTGTGTTGTGATTTTAATAACAACACGTGCAATGTTTGAAGGATAGTTTAAATTGAGCAAGGTACTGAAAGAAGTTGAAGAGGACTTGAGCTGCCTTTGTGGAAGATTTTAGGGGTTATGTAATGCAAAAGTTGTACCAAATTATTTATAGAGTGGAAAACATGGGTTAAAAACTTTATCTTCCCTTGATTTTTGTCCTGGATAAGCAGCAAGTCTAATATTTGTCCTAAGAAACAAATGGGTTGGGGTTTGGGGGGGGGGCTTGTGGTATTTTTGGAGGTAGTGTTGACCCCAGCGAGGGAAATGTCTGTGGTGTCAGAAGACATGAGTAGAATTCCTGAGTAGGTAGTTATTTTATTATTCTGTATCTCCGTCTGGTTACTTTGATCTATGTCCCGCTGACTACTCAGCTGGACAGATTGGCCAAGACAGGCGGGGGTTTGAGCAGCCTGCCTCCTAAATCGTCTTAATTTTGTCAGTAAGGGCGTAAAATGCTTACAATCTTTTGAAATCCTCAATATTATGATCAGGGAGCAGGCGGCGTTGATTAGATGAGCAATCACCCCCAGTCTTTCTTCCTCTGTTCTGCATAGTGATTAGAACTATACCTTTTAAAAAAAATTTAGTCCATTGATTGCTCACCATCTGTTGAAAAAGTTAGTCCCTGGAGATTTAGTGTTTCTCTTTTAAAAAAAAAATTTAGCTGTGTTAGACACTTCACCCTCTTTTTGTGCAATTGTAACTCTTGAATTCATGTTTGGTAGTCTGCTTTTCTTTTTCTTTTTTTTGGGTGTTCACCTTTCTTATTCTTAAGATTGACATGAATTGATTTTTGATATCAGTATCAGTAAAATTTGATTTCTCAATCTAACTGACAAATGCACCAAGTATTGATTTGTTTTTTTTGGTTTTTTCACATAGTGACAGCTTTTCTGTCTCTGCAGTTTGTTGGTCTCTTTCCATGTTAACTTTTTAAGGGCTTATTAGTATGAGCCATTTGTTAATAACAGAAATATAGTTGAGTAAAAGATGTCATTATGCCCTGTAACACAGTAAGCATAAGGCAGAGGGAACATGCTAAGTATGTATCGTGTGTGTGTGTGTGTAGGTTCATGCATGCGTGTGTGTGTGTGTGTGTGTGTGTGCGTGTGCGTGTGTGTGTGAGTTGTGTGTTTTGTGCCTGACTGTTTTGTCTTCCAGTGAAATATCTTACACATATAACTCTGAGCATATGTATAGGGTAAGGAATTGGAGATAATAATTTTTTCTTCACATTAAATTATAGATGGATAAAATTAAGGTAGTATTGGAAGTATCATTAAAGGAGACCAAAAAAATGGTCCCAACTAAGATTATAATGGACTTTTACCTTTTATCATGACAAAGAATCGAAATTTTAAGAAAAAGTGTAAAAAGAGACTAGCTTACACACTGCGGTCTTCTTTTGAGACAATGGGAGTGACATGAAGTTTTATGCCTGTTTTTTTTTTTTTTTAATGACTTTGTCTGCAAAAACTTGTTTGTGGGTGATTGGAAGGTGTCACTGGTAAGTCCTCCTTCTTAACTCTCCCTCTGATGTCTTGCTTTTTTTTTCTCTCACAAATGTTATTGCTACATTTGCTCTTTCTGGGGGGGTTCTTTCTTTGCATTTCTTTTTTCACCCAATGGTATACAAGTGAGCTCAAGTGAGAAAGGTGCCTCATGAACTGCATTAAAAAAAAATAAATTTACCTTTGGGATTTCTTTGAGATACCTACATGAAGATGAGAATCGCTTTGTGACTGGGGGGGGGGCTTGTGTTGTTAGGGGGGGGGGGGGGGTGGTAGTTAAATGTGGCCCTACTTCTTCTTTTTCTTTCCTTCCGTTGTTTTTGTCTCTCTGTCTTCTTTTTTTCCCTCCACTAAATGACTGTTATTCTGTTGATGCGCTTCTTTTTACTCAAACAAACTATGAAAATCAAAGACTGAGAAAGGATCTATTGTTGTGTAAGATCGCCTACGGCCTAACATTAGGAACTTGTGTAGCCCGTGTAACATTAATGCGTTTAATCAGTTGATTAAATATGAATTTGAGTGCATCATCTGGAAAATTTCTTCTCTAAGTTATTGCTTTTTTCCTCTGTACATTAAAAAAATACTGACTTACTAGGTTGAATCGTGACTCGGCACAATATTTTCCTCAACTCCCTTGTACCTTGTGATATACTGGGAAACGGTTTGATGTATTTGTACGTGTATGCATCATGCTGGGATTCTCCCCACTTTCCCTCTCCAGTTTATTTATTTTTTTTATATTCCTCTTCCGTTACTCCCCCTCCCCAACTTACTCATTGTTTCTCTTTCAGTCCCATCTCTTCGTATAACTCTTCAGTGCTTGTATAACTTGCTCCTGCAGGAGTTTGCTAATATAATAACTTTGCCGTTTCGTGTTTCAGCCGATGCGTGGGCGACATGATTTAATAACTGATTTTGTTCTGTGTTCAAAAGCTCTTTGCAGTTGTTTTCTTGTAGCTTCAATTGGCATGTGCATTTTGATGTGTTTTGTAATGTCGTGGTGAATTTTAAGAAATACTTTACCCTCTGTTTTGTTCATTTCTTTCTTTTAATTTGTCATCTTTTTACCTTCTCTGTGATGAATTCCTACAATCTGTTTGTGCTTAAGGAATTTTTTATTTTATTTGTGTTTTTAGTATTTCTACTAAAGTTCACAAAGTAAACTTTTTGTGTTTAAACGCATTTATTTTATTATAGATTTTCAATACTCAAGTCTCAATAAATTTCACCCTGCACTGCTTTGCAAGTAGAAAAAAAACATCACAACTGACCATAACCAGTTTAGTCATGTAATGTTAACTAATTTAAATGAACTGCAATCATAGTAGTGGGAGAAATGGTTCAGAATAATTTTGTGTTCAGTTGGAATTAGGTGACTGAATTGATAAGAAATTGATAATGATAAGACTGTTAGGTACTGATTTTGTCTTCGTGTTCCATTCATTATACAGGAAGATAAAAAGTAGGCCTATTGGACAATTTTAAGCATAAGTTCGGTGTTGAAAATTGACAGGAGTTGCTTTTTTTGCTTCTGTGAAGTGTTTGCTTAATCAAAAAAGTGTAATCAGAATGTTTCATAAATATTAGTAAAATTTCCTGGAAAATTTTGATTTTGTAGACTTACACTCGCAGGAATACTAGACCTTATTTTTCCGCGTGGAGTGAATGTCAACAGTGCAGTTTGAGTGGTTGGAAAAATTGTATATTCACTAGATTCTGACTTAATTTTTTTTTTCCAGTGGGAGATTCATGTTATCTTAATTTGTTTAACTCAAGTCAGTTTTTTTTACACGACTGGAGTGTTGCTAAGCTATATATGTGGAGCTTCCTCCTTCTCTCATTCCCTCAAGCTTACTCTCATTGACTGTATATGTGTGTGTCTTTTTCTTCTTTCCCTCTCAGACTTCAGTGTCGACTGGTGGGCCCTGGGGGTCCTGATGTACGAGATGCTGGCAGGACGCTCTCCCTTTGACGCTGTTGGAAATGCCGACAACCCTGACCAGAACACAGAGGACTACTTATTTCAGAGTGAGTTTGTCTGACCGCCTGTGGTCTGTGTTAGAAAAGGATGGGGTGTCGAGGGAGAGGACTCTTTAATTTTCTTTGATAAAGAAAGAAAGTGGGAATAGAAATAAGTTAATTATTTTCCCTTAGCAAAGAACGCGTGGGAAAAAAGGATTCCTTTGTTGAAAAAAAATATGTAAAGCTAAAAAGAAAGAATTTTTAAAAAGTAAAGACGGGAAAAAAAAGTAAAACATTTTTGGGGTTTTCCCCCCTTACAAAGAAAGAAGGGGAATAAAAAAATTCTGCGATTTTCCTTGGCCACAATTGGGGAATAGGGAAACTCATTGAAATTGCAAATGGTCCAGACAGAAACATTCGGAATTGTTTTATCTAGAGTGAGTGAAAAGGATTGTCATTGTTAGAAAAGAAATGGGGTTAAAGATAAAATATTTTTATACCCCTGTACAACTTTGGGTTTAACTTACTTTTCTTCTGGATTTTTCCAAAAGTGCAAAAGTGTAGATTATTTTCCATCTTTTAGGTATTTTTAGCATGACAGGTGTGTCCCTCCTATGTGTATATGGTTTGGGCTTTTCTTCATGAGTTATCTAAGTTGTGTTGTTTGGAATGTAAGTCATTCATAACGACTTGACATTTGCTCTTTGACAGTTATTCTGGAGAAACCCATCAGAATACCGAGGTCTTTGTCTGTCAAGGCGGCTTCACTCCTCAAAGGATTTCTCAACAAGGTAAAAACAAACTTTAATTTTGGTTTGCAGGGGATGTAAGCCTAAGGATATTATTTTTTCAAAATATCATCTTATTAGTTTGATTAGGGTATATGTGGACCTTGATGTTGAGATGCTGGTGCTAATGTGCTAGAGAACTGTTGATCGTAGCTATTGTTGTACTTATTTTCAGTGTCGTTACTATTGTTGTTGGGGGCTCTCGTGGTCAAGAGGTTACAGTGTTCGCCTCTCATTCAATAGGTCCCGGGTTCGTATCCAAACAGAGACGGAAAATTTTCTTCTAAAATTGCCTCCTTTCACCTAGTTTCCTGCCCTCTAATAATGTTCTGTCATTTGCTTTCATCTCTGCTTACTGCCCCCACCCCCTCACCTTCTTTGCTCCCTGATCTGGGTTCCTGACTCTTCTGACTCTTTTGCCAGCTTTTCTACTGCTATTCCTAGGCTCCTTATTACTGCTGTCTTTCAGCGACACCCCTGATCTTATGGTGGGTAAGATCTAACACTTAGCCTTCTGGCATAAGGGTGAAAAATCTCAAAGATTCCGTGTGCAAGTTGCGCACGTTAAGTATCCTTTGATGGTCTAAAATCGACAAGAGTATGCTTTGGCCACCACCCGTGAAAAATTAAAAATTTCTTACCGACTGAAAGCATTTATTGTGTCCGGCGTGCTCATATGACCTTATGCCGTTGTGAGTACCGTAAAACATTTGCCAAAAGAGAACTTGTTGTTGTTACTGTTCTTCATTTGTCAATGTGTACTATGTCCAGGCACCAGCTGAGAGGCTTGGCTGTCATCCAGCCACCGGCTTCTCGGATATCCAGTCTCATCCGTTCTACCGATCCATCAACTGGGAGATGCTGGAGCAGAAGCAGATTGTCCCCCCCTACAAACCGTACATCCGACATGAGAGAGATCTGGAACACTTTGACCCGGCTTTTACCAATGAACCAGTCCGTCTCACGCCTGATGACCCGTGAGTGTTCTCTGCCAGTCCCTAGTAGTTTTTTCTTTTTTGAACGTAGGTGTTTTTACTCCCTTGTCAACACAATTTAGATCCGTTAAGAGGTGGGCTTCCGACCCTGCCTATCAGGGCCAACCTGGGCTGAAAGGTATACAACATCCCAGCAGAAAGATTGAGATATTTGATAAGAATTTCTCCCTAATTGGGAACCGAACTCTGGTCTCCCGTGTGCGACGGGGAAGCATCTAATCGCTACACCACAGAGACTCGTTCTCTTGAAGCTGGCCACATAGCGCTGTAAAAGTTTGACTTTCCTGTGAAATGATGTAAATGCAAGACTGTTTTTATCAGTGACATATTGAAGCTTCTAAGAAAGGATAAGATTTAAGCCTGTTTACTTTTTTATGCTCATTATTGATTAAAACGGTAAAAGGTTCTGTTCTTTAATGGCGGAGGTGGGGGGGTGTTTAATGCTGTTCTGTCGTCAATGGATTTTTTTTTTCCTGAATTATTTTGGGGTTTTTTGCCTTCATTTTTTCTGATCTTACACCAGTTAATATTATTGCCTTTCAAAACTTACATTCATTTATTGGTTTGTTTTCTCCTCCTTTTCTTTCAGATCGGCCATCAACGAAATTGACCAGTCTGAGTTTGACGGCTTTGAGTATGTGAACCCGTTACTCATGTCCATGGAAGATTGCGTATAGAGGTGGGAACACAGACTCCTTGCTAGTGGAGTTGACAACATACGAGATCTGTTTTTCCTGACATAGAAAGTATTTTCTTGTTATGCTTGTGTGTGGATCGTCTTATTTACTGTTTTGAGAGCTGTTTCGTCAGTATCTTGTTTGTATCACATTGCTCTGAAACCGTTTTGTAATGCATGACCGTTTGAAAGGCAGTAAAATTTGACCAAATGGTAAAATGCCCTTAAAAGTTGTTTTGCCAGCGAAACCAATGATCTTTGTGAATAAAACTATAAGTGTCTGTGCTTTATGTGTAAGTGTTGAGTTGAAAGAATGTTGAGAGAACTTATAAATTGAACATGATGTCAGCTGGTTCTGATGATTTTGATGTCTTTTGTTTGTAGCTTCTATCTTTTACTGTAAAGTGAAAGTTGGTTGGCAATCCTAAGATCTGTGCTCAACAAACATCTACTTTGGAGATGCTAACTTTTTTTTGGAGGATGTTGTTGTTTCAGTTATTTCTTTTCTTTTGTACGGTTGGATCCTAGAGACTCCGCCCTGCTGATTTTGTGAAGGAATGATGATTGTTTAATCATTACAATTTTATTTTCAATTTTCTAGTTCATTGTACTTAACGACTGAAAGTTTCTTAGTCATGTTAAGATAATTTTTGTTGTTTATGTCAATATGTTGATTGTTTGAAAATACAAAAAGTAAAGCTTTGTAGAATGTTATAACAGAATATGAAAAGCAGCTGCAGCTCTCTTGGCACATGGTCAAAAAGAAACCAGAAAACAAGGTCCCAATTTTATGCTCTAATTTTTTTTTCTGTGTTGCTGTTGTGAAGATTTTTCTTTTTTTTTCTTTTTTTTTTATATAATGGCACACCAGCAGACCCATGAGGCTTTGCTGAGCTGTGGAACTGTTTTTGAAGTGAGTGTATTGATGGTGGAACCATTTTGTATTAGAATGATAGAGGTACAATAGTTCTTCAAATCCTAAGCCTAGGTCTTCTTTTGTTGTTTCCGACATTTGATATACAGGTAATGGATGGTTTAAAATCTTTTAATATGCATTTCATAGAAAGATATGCTTCGTGGTACATGCATAAAAGTACACCATGGTTGATAGATTTCTAAATGTTAACACTGTCAGTTTTGAACAGAAAGTCATTTACAAAGGGTACTAAAATATTAGTGTGATATGAGTTAATTTAATCAGGTTGGAAGAACTTGACAATAATGACACAGTTATGTCAGTGAAGGTAATGTGTGTTTATCTTTTTGCTAATGCGCTTGGAGCTATACTTCTCCAACAGATGTATACAGCTCTTTATATCACCCTTTTTACATATCAACTACTGTCCATTTATGTAGAGCTAGTGGGTGTTGCTAGTGACGATAATGATGACTGTGGAGGATATGATAAGGAGTTGTCCTGTTTTGTTTACTGTCACAAATTGTAAGGTTTTTTTGTTGGTCTGCCAAAATACTCCAGTTGCTTCCTTTCCATTAGTGTTGTGTTTCCTACCACCCTGGTGTCAGATCTCAAAAACATATTTTTTTTCACATCCATAGGATCATTTCAGGCGTATTCATCATATAGAGATGTTACTAGACATACGAGACTTATTGTTGCCAAATTGAAGAAGATTACGAGTATATGTGAAATATAAACATTCATCCTCTTTACTACACTTGGGGTCATTTTTTTCAAGCGAACAGCTATCATGGTAAGCAGGAGCTGATTATTTTCTGTCTTCTTTCAGAAGGTTTGGTCATTGATAGTAATTTATTACCATTGAATGTATTGTGGTTGCTCTACAGTTTCATTCTAAGTATTAATATGGTCTGTAGATGTTTGTGGGTGGCTGGAGGGTGCCAGTGGTAGGTCGGACTTCAGTTCTTCCCCTCTGTTATTTCTGTATGTCTGTCTTGCTTGTAGATGTTGCTGGGTGGCTGGAGGGTGCCAGCAGTAAGTCTGACTTCTGTTTGATCCTTCTGTTGTTTTTGTCTATCTGTCTGTCTTGCTTTTTCCCTGCAACGAAATGACCATTACTTCGTCGATATACTTCTCTTTACTCAAAATCAAACTGTATATATTCCGAAATACAGTTGTTTGCGATTGAGGGTTCTGACAATGCGACATTTTAAAGTTTCTGTACAAACATTTAAATTAATATTTTTTTGTTTACAGAAGTTTTTCTCTTTATTCTGTGGATCATTCCCGATAGCAGAACATTCTGTAGCATTCCACCCTTATTGTCACTCTTGTCTGACCTGTGAACTGTGGTGAGAACTTCCTGTAGTTCATTTTCAACATTTGATATAGAGGCACAGCCCCATCACTTTTTGTCTTGTGTTGGATTATGTTAGAGAAGAACCTTGGAACATTTAGGGGAGGGGTTTTTTTTTCTCCAGTTTTTCTTTCCCTTTCTTTGGTCTATGATGGACTGGTGGACTTGCTTCTGATTTTAAGCCGATTCCTTACTTTGTTCATTTTCTGGCCACTTTTTAAAACAAAAATAAGAACACTAATTTTCCGTATCTTCCAGGGCCATGATAAAAAAGTTCTGGCAGATTTTCTGCAGTCTCCGAAGTAAATGCTGTTAGGCTGGATAATATATGGGTAGGAAGAGTAGGATTGTTTCTGACCACATCGTTTTTGTTTTGCCATATCATCTCTGCTTTGCCAGATTTTTTTTTTTTGCATTCCGTTTCTATTCCCCAGCTAGTCTCAACTGTGCTGTCATCATTCCAAAGTAGAAAATGTATCCTGTTTTAATGGCATGAGATTCATTCACAGCCTCACCTTTTTACTCTGTCTACTTTTCTATTCTGCTTATTGACTTTTCCTTCTTTTATAACTCTTGAGGAAGAGGGCCTTGTTCTGATGGTCATAAACTGTGGCAGAATGGACCAGGTGTATGGTCATGGGCATTAGCAGAGTATCTAGATTTCTGGGTGTGAAGCAGGTTTCAGGTTGTGCACTTTGGCGGTGCAAAATTTTTTTTCTACCTTTTTTTCATCTTTTTCTTTGGATAGCAAAAATCAAATTTTTCCCAAGTTTTTTTGTCTGACCTCAGGTTGTTTTTTTAATTTATTTTTTTAACGCAATGGATAGTAGAGGTCATCGAAGGCGTTCTGGTAAGATGCATTATTCTTGTCCTCTGCTGGTAAAATCTTGATTGGTGATTTCACCATATGAAAGGGGTAAAGTTTTAGCCCACGATTCTGTACTTTTCCATTAGTAATCTCAACGTAATTTGTAAAACTGCAATACAAAGATACTGGGGTTTGAGTTTTTTTCTTTCTAAAGTTCTTCAAATGATGTTTGTGAGTTTGCTTGCATGGTATGTTTTGGTGTAAGGTAGACATTTTGTTTAGCTGATCTTGTCCAGTGTTGTTAAATATTGAACTAATCAGAGAGAAAACAGATCCTTCCTTGCTTTAAAAAAAATTTATTTTTTTCTTTATTCATCTTTAATGCGGCTTTTTGTTTTGGGGTTTTCTTAATCCACATCGAGGTCACAAGTTTTACCTAATTTTGGTTGTGCATTCTCCTTCCTACATGTGGACTTACAAACGGAATGGTGCTCGTAGTGCTAGTGTAGTAAGCTGTACAGATTCTTGTGTTGTGAATATGTAGTGGCAGTTTTTTTGTCCTTTCATTTTTTTCTACGTGCATTACTTCTGTTGGCATGTTCAATTTGTCAAAAATTTAGTAAATTTGTAAGTTTTTGTTCTTTGAATTCTCTTTTCATATTTCATTTTTTCACTCTCCAAAATCATGTACATAAAGTTGTTTATGTTTCTTCAATATCTCCAGTATATTCCTTTTGTCTGTACATATTATGACGTATGTCCCATTCACATCTTAAGTTTCTCAGTGATTTTTACCTTTTGTCTTTTCAAAGGTTTAATTTTTAAAAAGTCTTTGTTCTCATCACTTCTCTTTTTGTCGGAGAATATTTTTAACGCACAGTTTTACTCATGCTAATGAAAATACCGGTATGACTTCTAACAGTACAACACCAATACTAGTCCCAAGCTATGGACACTTGTAGCTTTTGTATTGTTCTCAGCCTGAGGACAAATGTGAGGCATCGTGGTGAAATTAGGCGCTCGTCAAAATAATGAAATTCGAGAAATCGTCATTTTTCGGCCAGTTTGGATAATCTGTTTGAATTTTTGTTTTTTGGTTCAACACCTTATATGTCCATTCAGAAACACTTTTATGTGACCATTTTATGGAAAAACGTTGATTAAAGACACAATAAATGTAAATTTGCAGTTTCCATAGACACTTAAGCTATGGAAGTTACCCAACTTTGGCGGCCATTTTCTCATTAATTTTACATCTGAAACCAGGCTACCCCACCTCCTTCAATCGCAATATCTCGACTTCTATTCAAGATTAAAGAGTATTTTTTCATCCAAAGCAATACAGAAGAACAAGCTATAAAATGATACCTATAACTATAGCTATAGGCCTACATGTAAAAAATTGACGAACACCTGATTGCTCTGCGTCGTGACACAAATACACAGTGTCTGTGTCACAGATTGTATGTATCACAGCCTGTGTCATGTATATATGGTGCATTGACTGCATGTGCACAAATGATGGTGAAATTATGTTAATGATTTGTAATTCTTGAAGCATTTCAACTTTTGTGAACACAAATGCTTGTAGGACTTTAAGTCTCTTAGTCTCCACATAGGGTTGTGAGAGCTGTGACATGTGGTTGTTTGTTGTTTTGTTTTTTCCTCTCTTAGTTGAGTTGTGTTGGCCAAAGTTTGCTCATGTTTAGAGCGTTTGGGTGAACTTGGACATACGTATTTGTGTAGAACCAAATGTTTATGATGTGACCTGTTCGTAATATTTCTTTAAGTAACGTTCTCTGAGCTGATGTGTTGATCATAGAGTACAGGCCATTTTGATGGATTGTGTTGTATGATCCTTCTACTACTATCTCAGATGGCAGGCTGGCCTCTGGTGTTTGGAGCAAGCAGATTCTGGGACTTTGGAAAACCAAATGCTTGGCCTTTGCAATGCCCTCTTCTTATTCTTCTTCTCGATCATATCACACTTGAAGTCCGGTATCTGTCATAAATTGGGCTGTCCTGCTCAGTTCATCTGCTGGCCCGTTTAGCTTCTCCTGTAGTGTCAGTGGGGTTGGCCACGTTTTGCAATACCCTGTTTTGTGGCTCTAAGCTTAAAAAGAACAAGACAGAAATGGCAGAAGGCTGCGATGGTATGGAGGCAGTGTCAGATTGGTGAACTTCAGTCATGTTTACTTGTGTAAAGAGTTTGTGAAAAACCCACATTATGAATTTGGTGTATAGGTTTTTGTGAACTGTAGTTGTATTTTCCTGACTTGCTCTTCAGCTCCTGTAGCACTATGTCTCTAATACTGTCCATGGCTCTAGAATGTTCATATAATATTTATGAAGGTTCATATAAGTGTCGAGCAGTCGTGTATGTGTTAGATTCTGCTTGGTAAAAAACGTTTTTTTTTAGATATGATCGAAAAATTACTTACTGACTTCCGTCTGTCTGAATGCGTTTTCTTCACTTTCGACTGGCTTTCAATGAATATGCATATCACAACACTGCTGCTCAGCGCTGGCCTTTTTAATGTGTGCTGCTTGTTGACCTGAGTCGTGCCAAGACAAGGGAGCGAGTCACGCCGTTATGACTCTTTTGACTCGTGCCACAACTCAGGAGTCGTGCTACAGCTAAATATAAGGCACACATGACTCACAAGACATTCTACAGCTGTAACTCCCGTCATGCTGTTATTGATTTGAGCCATACCATAATTCTGGAGTCATAACTACTAGTATGTCATGAGTCTTGAGTCGTGCTGAAAATTGTTTTTGCTAAATCGGTGACCTTCACAGCTGTGGATAGGGTTCACTTGAAGAGAACTTCCTTGAGAAAACTGAAAAAGAATATATTATTTGACATCCTCATACTAAAATATGAGATTAGAATTGAAATCCTTTTAGCGTTATCTAAAAAAAATCATTTTGTTATGAGCACTTTTTTTGTTCTTTCTTTGGGTATGTCTTTTTAGTGAGATTTTATAACAGCTGAAGTGTGTTACTTAAAACGTGCGCCATCGTCAAATGTTGTAAATATGTAAATACGTATGAGCCACCGCATAGAATAAGCTGTTAGTCCTTGTGCTGTTTCCACGGCCTCCTTGTTTTCTTGATCTGTTGAGTATGATTTTCAAATAGTTGTCCCTTTGTTTATATATCTGTCTATTCCCACGCGCCTGCCTGCCCACCTACATTCAGTGGACTCCCAAGTCCAGCATTATAGTAACAAGTTGATTCTTATTATTTTATAATTATTGTTATAAGTATTATGATTTTAAAATTTTTTTATCGTTATCGTCATGTGGTCGCTATCACGCCAGTGAGCTGTAAACGACTTGGCACCATTATCATTATAATTATCATTATTGCTGTCGTATCCTTTTATGATTATTGTTTTTATTATAATTGTCTTTCCTGACATTGTTCCAAATATTTTCTTTGTTGTTGTCACTTGTTTAACCTTTTTGACTCCTGGCCACATAAGCTGCAGGACCTCTGCACCCAAAGGATGATGGCTAGATTGGCACTACTACCTACTGGGACGTGCAGAAGGTTATGGGTGGGGTTTACTAAAGCGTGCATTCTTCAGGTGCATAAGGTTGATATTTTTTTCTTTGTTTCTATAATTATTTTTTAAAATTCAAGTGTTTTGATCTTGCTAGTTTAGTTGTTTCGTTTTGGGTTTTTTTGTATTTCTCCAATCGGTTTTGCTTGGGTTTATTTTTGGATACCCATGAATTAAGCCAATTTTCTCTCCAGTTCTGTAGAGTGTTCTATCTGTAAATGATAGGTGGGCCCTCTAGTATGGTCTGGTCTGTGTATTTCTTTAGTATTACTTTTGTCCAGACGGAAATGACCATTGTCATTGTCTTTGTGTTAAATTTTACATTTTGGGGGGAAACTTCTGTACATGAACCTCTTGATATTGTGGTATGGTGACCATAAATCTCATTCATTTTGTGGTTTATGTCCTTAAAAGAGTTTAGGGTGCTTTGTGGTGGTGGTTTTTGGGGAGGGGGAGGGGGGGTGGCGTCAAAATGAAGAGAAGTCTTTTTTCTTCCTTGAAGTATGATGATCAAAACAGACTGTTGAAGATTGCATCTATCTTGCCTAAGCAATGGTCACGCATTCGAGACTCAACCATTTCTTCTCCTTTAAGACGCGGAGAGCGTTCTGTTTTCTGATATTCATTCCAAGGCTTCCATTGTTAAATCTGAGTATTGTTCATATTATTCTCATCTGTGATTGGCTAAATTCTACTACCAGGGAATTGAGTCCAGTGGTTGGCTGTTGTTGTCTGAAATTGTTGTCGGGCAGAAGTACAAAGTCACAGGTTTAAGGCGTTGCTCAGATTGGATTTTGAAAATGTATTTAGTACTCATGGGCTGTAGATCAAATGCTTGGGTTGTATATATATATATATATATATTCTTTACCTACTTTTTGTGACTCATGATTCTTGTAACGGTAATCGCATCAATGGAAAAGTATGTTTTGATGATAACCTCTGTTGGTTATTTCTCGGGACATGTGTGAGTAAAAGGGTGGTATGTGTGTAGCTTTGAAGGCTCCACTCTTTTTTCACTTCTCAAACTTGGGATGGGAAAATGGATGGGGGTTTCCGTATTCTGGTGGGTCTTTTCTGTCTGAAGATTAGATTGTGTATTCCCTGTGATAGTTGAGCTAGCTTGTTTGTTTGTCAGAGCTGGAATTTCCGTTCAATTCTGCTTGATGACTGTAATCAGGTTGGTGCACATTCGCTGTTCTTGTTGTCCTCCGCCTTATCAGTTCGCGCTTTCATCAGGAGTACAAGTAAGCTAGCCTCTGGGCAGAGAGTTCACTGCGTTCTGTAAGAATCACTCGCGCTGTTTGTTTCCAGCGATCTGTACATGATGTAAATGTCATTTTCCTTTACTGTTGTTGTGGTGACTGTCATGCTGTGACTCGCAGAGATGCTGGTTTGTCCTATAAACCTTTTTTTTCCCTCCCGTGTACGTAAAAAGTGGATTCAGGAGGAATGTGGGTGGATGATTTTTTTTCTGCAATCAAGTGGATACTTGACACAGTCAGCAGAGATGGAAAATGTGAATGATAGAGATATTCATCAGAGGTAATACAATAGAATTTTGATTGGTGGGTGGTATTGGGAAGTTGGCATATCGTCTTTTGGATTTTAGAGGGGATTCAGGACAAGGCTATGTCACTTTTTAATTAAGCAGTTCCAACTGTATCACCTGCAAATTCAGTCTCTTCTTGCGTACCATTTGGGTGTGACTTAATGGGCAAACCCTGTTTGCGTGATTCAGCTGTATGAAGTTTCTGACGCTTATTAAAATGTTTCACAGAATAGATTCTCCAGATGTCTTATCAGCAGCAGGATCTTGCTCGTACCTTTTTTTTTCATTATGATGTAGTTATGTAGTTTATGAGTCCTCGTAATAAAGGCCTTCTACCGGGAGAGGCCACTCATCATATCATCTCCTGTATCAACACATATCCTCGCGGTGTGCCAGGCAATGATGGGGACCTACAGTTCTTTCTCGCACGCTACTCTTTGTTGTTGTGCTACGTGAATTGCTGAATGTATTAGTGGGCTGTTTGCTCAGTTGGCATCACACTGGACTGTGGTGCAGATTTCCCGGGTTTAAGTCCTCAATGGGACGTTCTTCGACTTGGGTTGTAAGGGGAGTTTTCAAGGCTCTCCACACACATGGATCTCTTTCTGTCTTATCCGAGATGTAAGTTTATTTCGGAGGTCCCTCTTCTTGGATTATCTGACAGTAGGGAAAGGGCTGTTTAACCGATTGCTGAATACATGTAACGAGTGGTGACCATATACACGTCTTTTTGTTTGGAGTGATTCTCTAACCATCTAACTCTATCTTTATAACGTGCAGAGATTGATGGAAAAAGGTAGTTGTGTTTGGCAGTTCCTCCTTTTGAAAAGATATTTCGAATGGAAATTGTAATTGCAATTGTGAGGCATCGTGATGAAATCAGGGGCTCGTCAAAAATTGAATAATAAAATCGATTAAACAGGCATTTTCTGCTAGTTTGGCAGTTGTATCAATTTTTTTTTCTTAGCTCAACACCTTTTGTGTCCATTTATAAACACATTTCTTAGTAGATTTTACTGAAAAACATTGATTAAGAAGCACAACAGTTGTAACTTTTCAGTTTCCATTGACTATCAGGCTATGGAAGTCACCAAACTGTAGCGCCAATTTCTCGCTAACTTTATCCCTGAAACTAGTGAAACCAGGCAACCCACACCTCCTTCAATCTCAGATATTTCGATTTCTATTAAAGATATTCAGGTATTTTTTCTTTAATAGCAAGACAAATCGATCAAACTGTAAGATGATACTAATTTCCGCACATGCCCAAAAGTTGATGAGCGCCTGATTCCACCATGTCGTGATACTTATGGTTTTGGTTCATTGTTGACTCATTATTAGCAGTGTAACGTAGTGAAAAGTTTTTATCGAATTGTCACCCTTATATTTACTGGATCTGCCATTATAACAACTACACATTCTTATATGTTTCTCTGCCAAATGGATTCCCCCTTGTGAAGATCAACAATTTGATATTGTGTTAGTTTATATCTACCTCACCCTTCTTATTTTGATGATGAAATTTTCAGTCTTCTTGCCTCTTAAGACAAAATTCTATTCAATTGTCACATGAATTTCCACTAGTTATCTTGTAATCATAAACCTTTTCTCCTATTTTTGTTTTTAAAAGTACAAAAAGTAAGAAGCATTGTGCAGTAAAAACACTAATTCACTATGCATCAGATAGATTTTTCAAAATGACTGTCTTAGCAATCTTTTCTCTGCAACTTATAACAGAAAGTGATTTCTCCGTTCATTGATGGTAGCTGTTCTTTGAAAGTCTCTGACAGGGGTTTTTTTCCACCTTGTATTGTGCTAGAATATAATACTCCCTTCAAACCAATCTGCGCACACACAAGGGTACATGTTATATCTGCAGTGACTTTGTTGTTCCTTAAAAAACACAATGTCTCGGATGACTGAAATGTTTAGGAACTTTTATGTTATATGTTGATGATTTTGGATGCAAGCTGACACATCTTAAATGTAAGAAAACTCTTTTTTTCCCCTTTGTCTCATCATGGAACATAATGTTCTTCACCATGCATGGATTTGGATTTACTGGAAAACAAAATAAATACTTTCCAATTCAAATCATATCAGGAGGTAAATAAAATTAGGCTTTTGAAAACAAATATGTGTGTGATCAATTTGTAGCTGGCGCCATGAATGTCAATGAAACAAAACTGTAACATATTGTTCCTTCAGAGATATTCACAAAAACTAAAAAAACCAAAAACAAGTTGTTCTATCTACGCAAAGTTAAAAAGTAGACTGACTTGATTTTGTAAGGACTGACTAAACAGAAATAAAACAACAGTTTAGTATTCAAAGAAAATACATTTTAAACTTTTTTTTACACGGTATACTGTTTTTTTTTGTTTTGGGGGGGAAGGGGGGGTTGCACACATTGCTGAAATAAACTTGATGACCAGTGTGATTTTTGTGAGGTCGTAAACACCTTTCAATATGTTTTCTAGGTCTGTAACTACAGTAACTGGTTTTGTCAGATCTATTCAACTTTTCATTTCTAGAATAAAAAATTAAAGTAAATCGGGCAGTATTTAGATTTTTAACAGGGCGAGTATTCTTAATTTCCGCTGCTCAGTGATATTGTAAGACTCTGCCGAACTCCACAGTTTAAAAAGTGCCGCCCTGACGAAGTCATACACTGAGTAGTGGATTTCCTTTATAAAGACATAATATTTCGTTTGATTTCAGACAAGTAGTAGAAGCATCTAAATAAGTTCACTCAAAATCAAGCTAATGTTCATGAACAATGTGATTTCGGCCTTCTTGATTCTTATGAGAAATTGATAGAATGGTTGTTAAAAAAGTCTGGTATATTGTGCTGGCAGATTTTTTTTTCTGTTTTTCATTTTGTCTCTCTTTGCTTAAGACAGCTTTTTTAATTTAAAAAAAAAAAAGGTCCCAACTTGTGGAACAGTTGCCAACTGCATTATTTCCATTGGCCGCTAAGAAACACATCTATTCTCATGTTTGTTTTTTTACCAAGCAACGCATTTGTGAGAGATGTGAAGCATTACTGAAAATTACAGAGCAATTTTCTTCATTCCTTGAAGTCTGTATAAAAGTGGTGAAATGTTTAAAGAAGACAAGAAGACTAACTACATGTATTTACGAGACCTTCCTTGGGAGTTGTTTTTAATGTTTCCAAGACTCTAGTAAGTGCTTATGATGACAATGATTGCAGTTCCTTGCATTTTCCTCCACTGTTGCTTTGACTGTGAGGTGCTGTGTACCCCTTTTTTTTATCATGTATACCGTGCTGGATGGAATCCCTACTCCTACCCTTTTTCCTGCTTTGGCTTGCTCATGCTCCAATTTTTCTATCATTTGCAAATTTGTGTAATAAAATCAAGCTATTTATATATACTGACTATATGATGTGACCGACCTCCGAGTTTCTTTCTGAAAAAAAAAAAAAAAGGCTTGTTCTCGTTTTGTGCAGACAGTATGTCGCCTCAGAAGTATTTTGTCTAAATTTGTGGGTGGTTGGTGTGATTTGCTCCTTCTTTCCTATGAAACATCTATTGTCCTTATCTCTCCGCCTTTTTTTGTGTTTGTTACTCTCTTGTAACACCTCTTATCTTCGGCACTTATATGACTTGATTGTGTTGCAAGTGCAGTGAAACTCTTACTGAAAAAACAATTTTGTCCAAAGTGCAGTCTTTACTTAGATCTAAGTACACTTTCGACAAAATAGTTCTAGGATGACGAGCAGTTGTTGGCTGAAGGCAGAGAGAATACCTTCGCTGTAAATATGCAGGTAAGTAGTGTAATATTCATTATTAGTGTCTTGTCAAGGCACTGAAAGAATGCAAGACATGAGGTGTATTACGAGGGCTTGCTTGCTCACCCCAGCCCTATATAGAAAGCGTAAAGTGTTCTCTCTGTTTAACCCTTTGAGCCCTGACTCCCTGAGACTATCGTACCCCTCTGCCTGAGCTCCTGAGCAATATATTACTAACATTCATGTGATAATCAGAATCACTTTCCATATCCCACTCAAGGTAATCCTCTCATTACCAGCATCTAATTCAGAAAGATTTTCGAAATAAATGATATCCTGTGTAGCAAACGCTGTTTTCCATGTGCGTTTTATCCCGGGCAGGCCAGGTGGTTAGTAAGAGTAAGACCGTTGTACCGGTGGCCAGGCATATGGGCAGTTTTAAGCGCCACCGGTCTACCGGTGGCAAAGTCTCAAAGGGTTAAGGCCTCGGACACTGTTCTATCAAAACAGATGACTGTGTTTGTGCTGTATTGGTCCATGTTTTGTATGTGGTGTGCGGGTGTTCTGGTGTGGTTTGCTCCTTCTTTCCCACCTCCCCCTACTGTAAAAGTAAATTCAGAGGTGCTCATTTCTCTTGCAACAGAAACACATTTGTCAGAATGTACTAATTTCATAAAACCTGGGTCATCTCTCACGCTGACAAACATGGTTGAAGCAGCTAGCATTCTAGTTTAGTTGGAAGAAAGAGAAAGAAGCACATCAACACAAAATGATGGTCATTAAGTGAAAGGGAAAAAGAAGTGACAGGAGAAACAACGGAGTGGATGGAGAGGAAACGGTAGCACCCTCCAACCACCCACTCCTGCTTTCAAGATGAGTTAAATGGGGTTGAAAGGGGCTTAAAACTTGAACAATTACTTCAAAACAATCAGTGCCCTATGATGAAGGCAAGTAATCAGTATGAGAACTATTACTAAAGTAAAAGACAGAACTGCGTACGTGTGTATGTATATATGTATCCAGAATCTATGAAGTCCCTGTGTGTATACAAACGACTATTACTGCACTGATGTAAAACAACACATCTCATGGATTCATAGTATTATGACTTTATTAAATTTTTTTCTTTTACAGTTGAAAACTGCAGTTATAATTGTACGTACTTCCACTTGTCTTGGGACAACAGCATGTTGTGACAATTATGGCACAAACCAGAAGAATAATTGCTTGAAAATTCATAGAGGAAATGTCATCAAATTAGGTGATTTCTCATGTTTGGGTAGCCCTGCTCCCGCAGAAGATAACCCACATTTAACCACGCTCTCATATGACCCCCCAAAAATTTCTTTGAATACCCCTCCTCCCCCCCCTCCAAAACAACTTGTAATCAGATAATAATGATAGCAGAAATATATTCATCTTTCCAAAGAGGAAGGTTTGAAGTCCCCAAAAAGCATCCATGCGAAACCATTCTCCAAGACATTTAGTCTGAAGCAAACCTTGAAGTAACAAAACAAAACAAAAACTTTCTTAACCCCCAAAAGATAAACAAAACTGGTATTCGAATCTTTCATGCAAACGATTTGCAGGCAGCCGCAACACACATCAGCAGTCTATCCGATTTGACAAAAAAATCATTTCCGATTATAAATCATTATGAGTATGAGCACTCTTACAAAACGTAAAAATACTCTATAAAAAATATCAAAAATAGCAGTATAAAACTGAAATATTGTAAGTGTAAGTATTGCTTAGACACAGAAAGAAGATGTACCTGGCCTATCAAAATGACCTTTCTACAGCTTACTCCACATTCCTGAGACCGACAAATATCCTCTTGAAGTAAAATGAAATTTCATAGCACCTCATTCTCTGACTTTTCAGTAGCTTCGAATTAGTTCACTCGATTGGAGGTCAACTAACTTGATAGGAAACAAGAGATGAGGGAAGTCTTTTACAAGTATATCTTTTCAATATAGAGCCATGTCGTTTCTGTCAGTTGCCTGAAATTCAGATAAAAACTAGAGTTCTTCTGAATCGGACATTTGGGCTGATTCTGAGAAGACTTTTGTGATTTCATTTTCCTTTATTCCATAAGAACCATATGCAAACGCGTTTAATCAGAATCAAGCCTACATCCAGTGCCGTCTTGTTCTTATATATTATATAGATCTATATATATGCATTCATAAAGCGATCAAACAAAGTACTTAGTAGTATAAATTCTTTTATTTTATTACAAGACATGATCAACAGTAAAATCAATACATGCATTTCTCTTTCAAAATGTAAAACATGTATATACATAAAGTTGTACAGATCTTACAAAACTGAGCCTCCTTTTGTTCACTGCACTGCTATATAACCAAAATTAAATTTTTTTAAAACACAAAAAAACCTGTGAAACTAAACAGTAATTCTTCAACATATATTCTGAACTTTGGAAATATTCTTGACTTAAATGAGTACGAACAATCGTAGTTCTCTCCTTTATAATTAAAATTCTAGTCCAAATATGTTTGGAGGTTATTCCTTGATCTCATTTCTGTCTCCAATGACCAGGCAACCCATAACTCAATTTCTTATTCTCCACCAGTCTTTGTAATCATATCCATTTGAGACTTGCACAATGGACTCTCTAAAATAGAGTAAGACTGGCAGACTTTCATGTTCCTAGATCTAATAGGGAATTAATTTTTCCTGAGACTACAGCAGTAAGTAAAGCCCACCTAAAATACAAACCTTATCAAAAGCACAAACGCATTTACAGGCAAATTGGCTGACAATAAATTGTATACTGCAATGAACAATGATGAAATAAGCATTCTTTTAATCAGAAATACATGCCCAGTATTTGATCAAAATGTGGAGTAGCTTTTTTAAAACAGTTGCTCTAACTTCTCCTCAACACTGTTGTGGTCCTCAGTATAAAATAAATAACTATATAACATAATGTCATAACTGAAAACAAAACCTTAGCACTCTCCCTATTCAAACCATGAACAAAAGCCTTAAAATCAAAATATGCTGCGTGCAAAAATAAATGCACTTAAATTGACAAAGGCATGGGTTCGATTCAATTAAACTTAACATTGCTACAAAAGGTGTATGCGCAGTTGTGATACATAACATGTGCCAACAATAAATTATGCATAAACACTCTCCATTCTTGAAAAATACAGGGTTTAGTATCAAAATGGAACAATTATTTGTTCACTTTGCAGAGAAGTGCTCACATCCTAGCGACAAATCAGGAATGTTACTATTTGTCTCAACACTAAAACCATTTGCGATCATTTAAAGATGGAAAAGATCAAACAATAATTTCTATCAATGTAAGTCAGCAGGAAAAACATTAGATCTATCAAGAAATCACACATCCTTGACATATGAAGAAAAAAACTAACAAACAACTAAAACAGAGTCTGCTGATTTTGATTTTCATCTTGACAGACCAGAAGAGAGAGAAGACCAAACAGACTGATTTCCTCAAGTAGCGTGATAGCAGAGATATGGAGAACAAAACATGTTATAGGAGGCGGTTCCCCTCAAAATAAATTAGAATCACATCTGAAATAACAGAACAATAACAGAGGCAATTATGACACAAATTCATGTAAAGGGACATCATAACAATAACTCTTTATTTTCACAGAAACAAAAGACGGAAAGGGTGTTTGTCATTTGCTGTCAACAACAACAATCAACAAAAATTGAGATGCTTGGTGCATGAATTGTGAAATGATACTCCAGAGCACAAGGCAGATTCATACGAAAACTATGCAGAGTACGTGGAAGATGACACGTTTCCTCCTCTGCCGGTCCAGTTGGTGTGAACAAATTTGCCTGGTGCGTCGTTGCGCTCGTATGTGTGTGCTCCAAAGTAATCTCTCTGAGCCTGTGAAACAAACAGAACAACAATGTATCTTAGTCTCAGCTCTCCTCACCTTACTCCCATCTTTTCAACATATTCTGTTACTTCAGGCTTAACCCTAGCACAGTTAGAGGACAATTAGATCACCATCTAGGTCTGATGCTAGACTGTTACAGGTGGTTGGAGGGATGTCACTGGTAAGTCCTACTTCTACACTTTCCCTCTGTTGTTTCTGTCTGTCTGTCTTTCTTTTCCCAGCACTAAATGACCCACTATTGTGTCCATGTGCTTCTCTTTACATAAACAAATAAACAGATAAACAAACCCGACTATCAAGATTGATTTCCAAGCCCTCACAAAGTTTGTTCGTGTTTCAGTACAAAGTAATGCGCAGCTTGCATTGTATGCTTCCAAGGCAGCCAAGAGTGTAAGTGGTCAAGGGGATGCTCAGATAACAATAATTCTAAAGTGCATAGAGCATGTTGTAGAGCATGGATTTGCACTACATAAAAATATGTGATTATTATAACTATACTGCACTTCCTATACAAGTAGACAGATTCCTCGCATACCTGGATGAGATTGGCGGGCAGGGTCTCGCTGCGGTAACCATCGAAGAAGGCCAAGGCGGTGCTGAAGGCAGGGGTGGGGATGCCAAGAAGAACAGCCTGGGACACAACTCTACGCCAGGCCTCCTGTAGAGATGACACAATCATGACATTATTATTATAAACCATAAACCATCTCTGAGCTGAGCTTTGCAAGCTATTTATTTATTTATTAGTTTGAGAAAAATGCTTCGTATAATATTTTTAAATCCCATGCTTAAACCCCACATTAAATTTCAAGTATCCTCATTTGCTTTTGAGGTGGCGAATCAACATCCCCTCCTACAGAATGGGGGGACTACAGAGCCTTAAAAACTTGTTAAAACAAAGTTAGTTTTTTTTTAAACTTTATTTTTTTAAAACCAAAGGGAAAAAATTTGCATTATCATCACCATTAACAGTACACAATTAAGAATCCAGAACCAAACTAAAGCTCAGGTAAAGAAGAGTAGCTGTTACAGAAAGGCCAAGAACCGTGCAGGTGGTGAGAGCAACAGAGACAGGGACATACCTGGCATTTTGTGATTTCAGTCTTGAAGAAGTCGTCCAACAGCAAGTTGCTCAGCTCGGGGTTTTTGTCATAGGCCTGTTTGATGTTTCCAAGGAACACACTGCCAGGAGAGGAACAAAACAAAACAAATTAAATACAAGAGAAATGAACAAAGACAGGCCAGACACCATAATGAGAACAGTCATTTCGATATTAGCTGAAACTTAAAAAGAAAACTTGGAACAGAAGTTCATAAATTTTAGTCCCCCAACACCAGTTTTTCACAATACCCACGCCTGGCTTGAGTGAGGAAAAGCACATCAATACACCAGTAACACCCTCCAACCATATGCCATCTTGGTCCAGACAAGAACCTTCAAAAGACTAGCACAAAAACAAAAAAGTTACCACCCTGATAGCTCAGAAGAACAAATAATTTCAATACATCTGGCCAGGATTTGATTGCTTTTCATTTACGTTTTACCAAGAGCAAAGCCCTCCCCCCCCCTCCCCCCTCCCCCCAAAGTCTTTGCTTCAAACAAAGTAAAAGTTTTCTCAAATGGTCCTAAAGGAATAATAGTTTTTTAAAAGGACTGGGTGAATACAAACCTCCTGATGATGCATCCTCCACGCCACATCAAAGCGATGGAGCCAAAGTTGAGCTTCCAGTTGAACTCCTTCGCAGCCTCTCTCATCAGCATGAACCCTTGTGCATAGGAGACAATCTTGGAGGCGTACAAGGCCTGTGAGGAGAAGAGGAAATGTCACATGAGGAGTCAGTAATTGCTTCAGAGTAAAGAGAAACACGTCAACACAGTAGCGGCCAGTTGGTTCTCAGTAAGAGGAAGACGTACAGTAAGAAAAAACAGAGGGCTAATTTTTTTTTAAAAAGAGGTAGGACCTTTCAGAGACGACATCCGATCATTCACTCAGACACAGAACACTTATAAATTTGAGTCTATATAAAGACAAAATAAAACAAAATTCACACTTTTATCTACAGAACTGGCCTACTACAAGTAAATAAACATTTTTTCAAACCCTAACTTCAATCAACCTTTATTAAGGTCACAATAAATATGGGAAGCACTCTGAGAATTACATATAAAACAACTAAACAACTGTTTCCAGCCAGAGTGGATTAACTCAAGTGACAAAAACTATAGGACATTTAAACCGAAAAGATGAAAAAAATTGGCGAATTATGAGAGATGAAATCAGGAAGAATTCTGAGAGAAGCAAGGTTTTTTTTTTTCATTTAAAATAACTAGGCACAGAAAAGAAGTCATGGGTCTTAAGAGAAATTCTTTTTTCTCAGCCACTCTTCCAGTAAGGTGAACTCACCTGTCTGACATCTTCAATGAAGGCTTTGGCATCACCCTTGAACTTGGTCTCTGCTGGTCCCGGGATCTGTCGGCTGGCCTGCACACGCTCAGACTTCAGAGAAGACAAGCAGCGAGCGAACACGGCTTCACCTGGACAATACAACATTTTTGTCCGTATGAGTCAAAGAGAAGTTAGTTTTATTAAAAAGTTTACAGCACTTGCAACACAAACAGGTCATACAAACAAGTGCCAAAGATTAGGAGGTGTTACAGGAGAGTTACATACAAAAAAAGAAAGAGAAGAGATAAGAACGTTAGATGTTCGATAGGAAAGAAGGAGCACACTACATTAGAACACCCATCAACCACCCGATGCCAGGGAGAAATGTGTAATCGTGTATTTGTTCATTTGTGTAAAGAAACAATGTTGAAACAATTAACAGTTGTTTAGAACAGAGAAAAAGCAAAACAGATGGACAGAAATGACTGTGAAAAAGAAAAAAAGCCGGACCTGATAAGACATCGCATCAACCCCAAAGCACCCCCAGATGTTGCACATTAGGTAAAGTACATTCAAAATGGGGAAAGGAGGCTATGCTTTTCTTCTACCTACAGAGCTTGGGAAAGCTCTGTAGGGGAAGGAGGAAATGAATTGATCTAACTGGCAATGAGACACTCACCGATAAGCGTGACAGGCACGCCATAGTCCAGAGCTGAGATGGCCGTCCACTTTCCTGTGCCCTTCTGTCCGGCAGAGTCCCGGATCTTGGTGACCAGGGGCTCACCATCAGTGTCGTTGTACCTCAAGATGTCTGTGGTGATCTCGATGAGGAAAGAATCCAGTTCTGTCTTGTTCCATGCCTCAAACACCTAGAGACAAATTGGTTTACATGGTTTTAGTTAAAATATAAATATTTTGAATGATTTGATTTTTTAAAGTTTTTGTTAAGGTTTTACTGCACTTACAACTGCATACGGTCATATGACCGCCAAGGGGTAGATGTCAACAGAGAAGTCCAAATGGGGAATCAGGCTTACTCTGCTCACCTCTCTAATAATTTGATTTGATAGTAAACGTTTCAGACCCCGAAGGACCCAATTTAAATAAATTAGGAGGCAGGCTGCTTTAGCCTTACCTATCAGAACCAACCCATTATTCAATTTTATTCAACCATTTATTCAATTTTCATTTGATTTGACTGTAAATGTTTTATGCCTTTAACGACACAATTTAGATAATGAAGAAGGAGGGCTGTTTAACCTTGTCTATCTGAGCCAACCTGGGCTGAGGTGGATACAGCAATCCAGGAGAGACAAACTCGATGGAAAAAAATTTCCACTTATAGAAAAAGAACTCACGTCTTGTTAGATATTGAAAGCATGCGTCATCCTACTGCAAACCTATGACACTAACTCGAATGATATTCGGGGGGGTTTGAGAAATAGACAAAGGCCAAAAGATCTTCACTGACTATGCACAGTTTGTAATATACATGAGGATATACACAATCTGCAATTTGAGATTATGCACAGTTTGTAATATGAGACTATGCACAAAGCATTAAATGAGACTATGCACAGCTTTAGTTTTAATTTTAGTAAAAGTTTTAGAGCACCAGCAACACAATTAGGTCAAGTAAGAGCACAAATTAGAAGTGTTACAAGACAAAAAAAGAAGGGAGGAGAGATAAGGACGATAGATGATTGATAGGAAAGAAAGAGCAAACAACACTAGAGCACCCGTCATCCACCCACTATACACTATAGTCTATAACTGCGGACCTTGCAGTCCAACGACTTACATTGGCCATCTCCGAGTGGCTCACGCCCAGAGCGTCCTTCATGACGTTGTAGGCCTCACAGATGAGCTGCATGTCGCCGTACTCGATGCCGTTGTGAACCATCTTGACAAAGTGGCCGGCACCCTCAGGACCAACCTGGCGAGAGACACGATATGAGATGACACTTCTGCAGATATGATAGGCTTTCTAGTTCCCGATGGTTCTACCAATAGACATTTGATGTTGGGGGAATAAAAATCAAGACAGACAGACAGACAGACAGAAACAACTACCTGTGCTTCCCTCTAACAATCTACTTTGAACAATAGCGTGACAGTTAATGTATACCGTGAATGTAACGGTATGATAAAATATACTACGAAAATATACATATAATATAAATACGCAATTATGGACCAAATTTCAGTTGGGAAAACGAAATGGTAGAGTGCTTTTCCAGCATTTATTTTTCCTCAGATGAGACTTTTAAAAAATTACAGTTGCATCTCTCTTATCAATACAACACTGTGCCAATGTAAAACGATATCTTACTTATCCCCAACTATACAGTATGTGATTTCACCATATGGCTTTTACCTTTACAGTAATTTTACAGAAGCTATAACTGTACACCACATAAAGTTCCATATTCAAATAGTTAATAGTCATACATTTTTTAGGGTATGTATGACTATGGTACAGCATCCATAACAACACCCTCTTTACACTTCAAGATTATAATCAATGCCATTGTGAACCATTTTGACAAAGTGTCATAGCTGCAGTAAAACTGAACGCTTGTTTGTTTGTTTGGGTAGGTGTTTACAGCACTATCGACTCAGTTTAGGTCATAAAACTGACCCTCACCTCCAAATTTGAACTAGTATTCTCACTAGTGCACAACATCGTAGGGGGTCACACACCTTCCTAAGATTTAACACTTTGTCATCACAAGGCTCATATAGTAAAAACCCTCGCCATCACAAGCATTTTGGGGGGAAATCCAAAGAAACTGGGTGGTAAACATCGCCGATCAGCGTTTTGTGACGGGAGCGGATGTTCGGCGTTCTTGCCGATTGGCGAGATGGGACTCCAAAGTGTAAATAAAGTATGTCTGCTCCCACTCACCCAGTCACAGCAGGGTTCTCCATCAGCCTTGGCTGAGATGGACTGGAAGATGTCCTTGACAGCTGGCCAAGCCTCCTCGGCGCCACCGGGCATGAGAGATGGGCCATAGCGAGCTCCCTCCTCGCCTCCACTGACACCACTGCCGATGAAGAGGATGCCTTTTTCTTTCAGGGCCTTGCAACGACGCTGCAGAACAAGAATATATTGTTCGTTTGAGTGAATATTTCTGATTTTTAAAAAAAGCATTGACTTCATATCCGCACATCATCTTTTTGCATTTTTTAAAAAGCAAATTATGATACGTTGTTTGCATATACATGTGAGTGAATTATTCAGATTGGAATTAAGTATGTTACCTTTATTTAAGAAAATCCAGTTTGCACCTTTAATATAAAAAAAGTAGAAAAAGAGGTAATAAAGAAACTTATAAAATAATGATCAAAATGCTGAGACCTGCATGCATAATCCACACAAATTTTCTAATTCTCTGCATTCAGCAAAAAGATGGCAAATGGAAACAACATAAATTCCTAAAACCTTTTCTCTAAATGAGTGGGGGGAAGTGTTAACTAATTCAATAAAACAAACAAAAAGAGAGAAAATAACCGAGGTTTTTCAGCCTGTTACCTAAACAAGTTCTCTGTTCCACCCAAAGCTTTGCAGAATGATGAAGCAATGGAGAGAATAAACCCAAATGAGGATCAGATCACAACACAAGAACTTACGTTGGAGTCCCTGTACTCGGAGTTGCCTCCGTCAATAATGATGTCCCCACGCTCCAAAAGAGGCACCTGTTGGTGAAAGAGAGAAGGAATGATAATAAATAACTAAACAAATCACAGAAAAGAAATAGCAATAATAACATCTGTAACCAAAAACGAAATATAATGATAACTTCTTTATAAAAAACAAAACAAAAATCATGATAAAAACTACAATCAAAAGAAAAAATAATGGTATTAACAACCATAACCAGCAGAAAAGAATGAAGGCAATAACAGCTATAAAAGCAACTGGGAAAAAAAAGAAGATAAAAACAAATAAAACCAACAGAAAAAAAAAAATCACTTCATTTTGTGTGAAATCTAAAAACCCTTTTTAGTAGAACACTGACCTAGTCTTAAACACTGTGCCCAGATACAGACCACTGGTGTGGGTGCATGTTTCTGTCTCTCTGCCCCATCATCTACTCCTGTCTCTGTTTACTCTTCTAAGTTAAACAGTCAGGAGAGGTTATGTAAATAGATCCCTTCCTCATTACAGCTCTAGTTTCCCTTTCCCTTGAATAAATTAACAGAGTAGACAGTGTAATTACAATAAATATGTCACCATGAGAATGCTGACACTAGAGGTTCCCCATAATAATAGATGCTATTGAGTCTACAGACAGAGCAAATGAACAATTCAAGTCCGCTCAATACTATCAACAGAAAAGCTTTCTCCAGAAATGTAGCAGGCACACAGCTGTCTCTATTAACTTCAATTCCTCCCTTGTTTGGTGAACATTCCAAACGCTAACCCTCCCCACCCCCTCCCCCTTTCTACCCCCAAACACGAACTGACAGATTTAAATACACATTCACTCGCACACACACACACACACACACACACACACCAACAGACAGTATAAACAATGTTCCTCAGGAACTAATCAGTCGATCTTTAAAAAAACATCTGAAGCAGCACCTCCAATAGAATGCCCACACACTCAGAAAAACCAACAAAACTAAAACTTCTCAAGCTTTTTCTCTTTCTCTCTCTTTCTCTGTCTGTACGTCTGTCTGTTAGTCTGTCTCTCTCTGTCTGTCTGTCTCTCTGCTTCCCTCTCTCTATGTTTTTCTCTTTTCTCTCCACTCTCTCC